GTGTTCTCAAAGTAACTGAAATGGACAAATACTGTTTGCAAAAAGAAGTGGTTATTTTAGTAAAAAACTTATTCTGCTTATCTCATACTGCCTTAAGATGGTGGAGATAGGCCCCAGTACCAGGCTAAAGTTAGCACATACTATATACTATCATTCAAATTGTTTAGACTTTTTCTTTTGATTCATGCCGTTGCCATATTTTGTACATCCTCCTGACCACTCTGAGCAGCTGTAACAACACTTGCGGTATTACCAGTAATTTGCAACTTATCAAACATGATTGAACCTTGTTCTTTTGTGTAAATGAAACAGAACTCTCTGGTTAACTTTCTTTATACTTTGGAAATAGTGCAAAGGAAACCAAAGCTATATTTGCATGCCAGACAATGAAACATAACACACAGTGTATACATGCCTTTGACATTGTAATTACTAGCTGTTGTTTAGATTCCATGTATGGTCACTGGCTTTGGCTGTGTTGAAATCAGCTGTATCAACATTTAATCAAAGTCTTATAGATTTGGGGTGTATATTTTTGTAATGTCAAAATGGAAATACTGAGACTAAAAAATAAGTTTGAGTGAGATGAAGATGCGTGCCTGATAGGCTGCAAAAATAACGAATATTTGCAGCCTAATGAGTAAAACCCTTACGGGGGTTTCATCTTTAATGAAGCAAAACAGAATGAGCAATTTTCAGCTGGAATGCCTTTCCTCAGGTCGTAGGAACTTTTAATTAGTTCTACTGGGATTCAAATGCAAAGTTCGATGGTAATGCTCACCCATGTAGCCAAATGCTTTTGCTTATCTGTCTTCCAGAACATTTTTAGCAAGTGTTTGTGAGCTGATGCTGCCATTGCTTGGGTTAAACCCTATCTGAGTAAATTGCACTTGAAGTGTGATGGCTTGAACCTCATGTCTTCTCATGTTAGTCCTACGTAGAGGTGGCTTATTGAAATGAATGAGGCTTTGTTTTCTCCTGCTCCTATTCTCAAGTAGGACATGGTACCCCTGAAGATCCTCTAGATGAACTGCCACCATCCAGTGATTTTTCTCCACCCCCTTTAGTAGTTACTCAGTGGGAAGTTACTGGGAAATTTGATGTGTGCTTCTTCTATCTCTGACACTGGAGAGACTGTCCTTCCCCCTCCTGTGTGGGAGTTGAGAATCCTACATGCATATGTGCAGGCACACTGAGCAAAAGGCATGTGGAAGAGTGTGGGAAACAGAATATTTTAAAGGAAAACTTTTTACGTCAGAAAGAAACTCTTCTAGAACATGGCCACACAGCCTGAAGGACCCACAAAAAACTATGGATGCCAGCCATGAAAGTCTATGACTTCACACTGAAAACTTTTTATTCTAAGCAATCAATCTATATTGACAAAAGGTACCTTTTTGCATAAAAGCACTATCCTTCAGACATTTGTATTATTGTTATAATTATTGTTATTATTATTTTCATTTATATTCCATTATATTTCATTTACATTCATTTCCATTTACATTCAAGGTAGCTAACAACAAAACTTAGATAAAAGTAGAAATATAAAAGCTATTTAAAACCAATTAAATAATGTATAAAATAAAGCAATAAATATTAAAACATTAACATTATTTAAAAGCTGGTACAAACTATAAAATAGCTCAGCCCATCATAAAAAAAATCCATCCCAATTAGTTTTCAAAAGCCTGGTAGCACACAAATGTTTTCAGTTGTTGATGGAAGGAGAGTAAGGAGAGTGCCATTGTGATCTTCTGGGAAGGGAGTTCCAAAGACTGGGAGCAGTCACAGGGAAGACTCCCATCAAATGAGCCTGAGAAGGTGGTAGGACAGAGAGAAGGACTCTTCCAGAAGAGCTTAGAGCTTTAATGGGCTCACAAAGGGAGATATGGCCTTCAAATAGCCTGGACCCAAATCTGCCCAGGTTTTGAGATCTTGAAGAGAGGCCCTTCTTTCTGTCCCACCAACCTCACATGTACATCTGGTGGCAATAAGAGGCAGAGCCATTCCAGTGGCTGCTCCCAGGCTTTGGAAGTTCCTCCCTAGAGAGGCAAGACTGTTGCCCTCTACAATGTTCCTCCAGAAGCAGATAAGCACCTTTTTTCTCCAGTATTTGATAAATGACTGCTAATGGGAAAAGGGCTTGTAACCATGTGCTGCATTGTTTGCACTTGTTGCTTTCAATGGGTATGCTTTTAAATTGCTTTTAATTCTACTGATAGTTTAATTATATTTTAACATTTGTATGTTTTAGTGAAGTTTTGTATGCTTATATTTTAATTTTTTTAAGCTTCCTTGAATCCCAGTCTGCCTTGAGTCACATTGAATTCTTGCTGGAGAAAAGGTGAGGAAAAATAGATACATAGATGTATGGATGGATAAACAGACAGAAAGATAGTGACAAATAGATACCTGTGGGTTTAATGCATGGATGAATAATAATAATAATAATAATAATAATAATAATAATAATAATAATAATATTTTATTTTTACCCCACCCCTCTGACGAACAATCAAGGTGGCTTACAGTAGTTAAAATTTGTACAACATATTAAAATACATTGCAAAGTCCCCAAACGCTCCCACCCCTTAAAAATAAATTAAACCAGTAATAAATTAAACCAGTAATAAATAAATTAAAGGGCCTCAGATCTGAGCATCCTCTTGAGCTATCCAAGGTGCATTAAAAACATGATAATTAAAACATCAATTAAACAAAAACAAATAACAAATAAATAACAGTTGACAGTGCAGAGAGTGCTACCAAAATGGGCAAAAAGAGATGGGGGGGAGAGAGACTCCTGAAGCTGGGAAAACTAATCAGGAAAGGCCTGCTGGAAGAGATCCGTCTTAATAGCCTTTTTGAGGCTGCTTAGCATTGTAATCTGACGGATCTCGTCTTGCAGGCCATTCCATAATCTGGGGGCGATTACCGAGAATGCCCTCTGGAAGGTTGCAGATTTTAATGGATGGAGCAAATTCCTCCCAGAGGACCGGAGTGCACGGATGTAAGCTTTGTTCAGACTCCTTACATTTGTTTTCAAAACTACACAGTCCTACTGCATGTACAATGTAAATATACATTTAAATGTAACCTTAAATATCTTCAAGGAGGGAGTCTTCAAACTATAGTTGCATGCACAAAGTCTTCATCATGATCTAGACCAGGGATAGGCAACCTTTCCCCTTCAAGGGCAGAGGGACTTCAGCTCCCAGAAGTCTCAGCCATGTTGGCCAATAGTCCCATGTTGGCCAATAGCTCCTGGGATTCTGGGAGCTGAAGTCCCTCGGCCCTGAAAGGGGAAAGGTTGCCTACCCCTGATCTAGACTCTGAATAGCTGGGGTTCTAGATTGTGTGGAAACCTTATTCAGCACCTTGGATAGCTCAAGAGGACGCTCAGATCTGAGGCCCTTTCACACTACAGAAATACCATATTATGATTCCATTTAACTGCCATGATAACATCTTATGGAACCCTTGCATCTGTAGTCTGATGAAGCACAAGAGCTCTCTGGCTGAGAATTCTAAATATCTGACACTAAATTGTAAATCCCAGGACCCCATAAGATGGAAACATGGCAGTTAAAAAGAAACCATAGCACTGGAACTGAGAAAGAGCCTCTGTTCTTGAGCCCATATAGCTTCAGGCTAAAACTCAGAGTGAATTTACTGCCCCCTTGAAATGGAAATCACAATGCCACTGCCTTCACACATAGTACTATATGTGCAAAAATTATATCCCTGCAGACATTTTTATCAAATATGTGGACACCAGAGTGGAGATACTTCAGGGAGTCATGCTCCCATATTGATATAAGGCATATTCTCTTTGCCTGATGAAATGAACACTTCGAGAAAAATGGAACTTTGGTGACTATTTGTCAAAAATACTACGCAATTATGGGAGCTTTTAGTTATTTTATAAAATTACTGTGCCATGCTGTGTATTAATAATTATTGTGTATATATGTTGGCCCTTTGATCTGTTTATGTCTTATGTACACTACCAGACTACACTGTTATACTGCTATTATTCCACTTCTACTACTACAGCTGCTTCCTATGCTTCCTATGATTTGCGGTTTAGGGAGGGCATTTAGAATTCTCAGAGATCTCATAGGCTTCACTAAACTACAAACCTCAGAATGCCATAGGAGACAGCCATAGCAGTAAAAGTGAAATAATAGCACTATAACAGTGCAATGCACTATTTATGAAATATATGAAATATATGAGTTGCACTAAAACATGTATGTACCATTATTGTTCTTTTTTCATCATTTGTGGGCTATTTCAGCTTCATTTATAGATGTATTATGTATGTATTGTTTATGTATAATTGCATTCATTCTTTTGTTTGTTCTTCCCCTCTTTTTCTCCATATTATAATGAACTGAGAACCATATTGTAATGAGAACAAAGACAGAATGTGTCTCTTCTGTTTGATCTTGATTCAACTACCGGTACTAGCTCATAGAGTTTGTTTTTATTGATGAAGATAATTATGTTTTTGGCTAGTTGGCAGATTATCCTTTATTCTGTTTATTTGTTATTATATGCTATCTTCAACACTGGAAATATATTTAAAAAATACTAGCAGTAGCTACATGAATGAATGCATGAATGAATATTCTGCTATGGAACATAATCACCATGGCTAAAATCCAATTATTAGTCCCACTAATTCAATGGACCCAACAATGCAACTTACATAAGTACAGATGTCACAACATTTCATGTATTCAATAAAGAATTGGATGTGAGCCCATGAATACTGCAAGGAAGACAAGTCCAGAATGGAGTGAGTCTTCCAACAGAGCTAAAAGGTGGGAGATTCAGTACAACCCAATGGAAATACTTCACATGAAGAATCTTACAGGTTTCATTGCCATTAGATGCATTGATAGCAACCATTAGAAGATTTTTTTAAAGCAGATTTGGCAGATTCATGTAGGATATATTTATTAATGGTTGCTTATCACTCTTGACGCAGAGTCAATGTGATATAGTGGTTTGAGTGCTGGACTAAGACTCCAGGGTGAGGGTTTGAATCCCTACTTAGTCATGAAAACCCACTTTCTCAGCTTTTGAGCAAGGCAATGGCAACCCTCCTCTCAATAAATTTCAGGATCTGAAGTTGAAGGCTTTCATGGTTGGCACCCATAGTTTTTTTGTGGGTTTTTCGGGCTGCGTGGACATGTTCTAGAAGAGTTTCTTTCTGACATTTCGCCAGAATCTGTGGCTGGCATCTTCAGCGAATTTTAGGATCTGTTGCTTAGGATAGGGTTACCATTAAGTTGAAATCCACAGAATAGCAATTTTTTTTACTGGCCAACCAAAATATAGAAAATAAATCATGCAAGCTTTTGAAGATTCACTGGCTTCTTCATTGAGGAAATATGTTAAAAATCATACAGGAGAAGAAAAGGGACAACGTTAGAGCCACAGGCTTATGCTTTGTATCAGATGTTACTTTTGTTGTCAGTTAAGATGGTCTAGAGCAGAGGTATGCAACCTTTTTGAGCCAGCGGCCGGGTTGCTGTCCCTCAGACAACTGGAGGGCTGAAGCACCAAAAATAAATAAATAAATAAATAAAAATATATTTTTTTAAATAAAAAAAATTAAAAAATATATGCATGCACACTCTTTCAGCTCCAGAAAAGTCATGGCAAAACCCTTGTGGAGATTTTGCCAAGAAAACCCCAAGAACAAGTAATAACAACAATAATCAATATCATCATGGCGGGCGGCAACGGGGGCCGGTCCAAAGGCCTCGAGGGGCCGCATCCGGCCCCCAGGCCTTACATTGCCTACCCCTGGTCTAGAGGGATATCAATGCTGGCAGAGGCCACTCCTCTTCTTGGCCACATGTGGACTAGAGACAAAGGACAATAAAAGACAGGTAATAAAAATTAAATTCCATTAGCAACAGAAATGTAACTTCACTTGCAAGCCAGGGTGTGCGTGTTGATGCAAATCCTGCATTGGAAATGTAAGTGTCTGGATACAACAGAGTTATGCAAGAAGATGTAGTTTGTCAGCACAGGAAAGAAAAAGGGAAGACCACTTGACAAAAGCCTTCAGTAAGTTACTCTGCATGCTGTGCTTAAAAACCAAAACTTATTTAGTCCATGACTTTCTGCCTGTTAACTTGTTTGGGGTTTTGTTTTTTTGGGGTTTTTTTTGTTTTTGTTTTTTCTCTGCATATTGATGCTTGTCAGCATGGTATCTGCATGGTACAACATGAACACCCTTTCTGTGGGTTTGAATGGAATTGCCTTCTTCAAAATCAGGAATGAGAATGAGAGAAAAAGCCAAAGTAGAGTTCCAGCTGAGACAAAGGTGAGTAGGAAAGGAGTTCAATGTCAAATTGCTTTAGGACTGCAGTGTTACTGAAGTACACACTAGAGTAATGTAGACGTATCACATTTACTGGCTGTGAGAGAAGAATGAGGTTCATAGAATGTTCTGAGAGGTGTGTGTAATGGCTCTGGGCCAACCACCGAGTACTGTGGAAAAATGTTATTGATGCCAATGACTGGAGAGATTTTGGTCCCTCTGCAAGATTTGTGAATGATCCGCATAAAGATTTGGCAGGGGATGCTGAAATACCTACACATCACATGTGCACAGCTGTGGGTAAGCCTTGCCTTATTGACCCTTGAGGTCAACTCTAGGGCATTCTATCTGGATGCGAGGAGATCAACGCCATACACTAATGGACCATTTATGCCTTCTTTTCTCTTAATTAATTTATTCTCTCTTCCCATCCTTGGGGACTTCAATTAAGGCAGAGCAATCTGTCCTTTTCCTCGCTCCATAAATGTTTGCTGGCTAGGCAGTTCTCCCCAAATTCAGGCAACAATGCCATAATTCTGGTCAGATCTTCCTGCAAATCAAAATGGCTGACATGAAAGAGCAATCAATCAAATCATTTCCTTGGGATGCATAAAATAGTACATGCCAAGGTTCTTAACCCACAGCATTAAAGCAGCTGCAGATTAATATTTGAACTGCAAATATGTTAAATATAGTTTAGAATTTGCAACATTTGCAATTCCCATCATCAAATGAACTTTGCAGGTGTTCAAGTACATTGTTAATCTTGGAGGTTCCCCTCCCCCCCCCCTTACCAAAAGACACTATTAGTAATATTAAATTAAAACTATGGAACACAGGCAAGCTATTTGGGAAAAGGAAAATTCAGTAATAAATTATGTATCTTGACAATTTACAGAATAACTCAGAATTGATTAAAGTGATCCCCATCCTCTTCCAAGCTCAGGAGAGGCAACAATTTTAACTGGCTCTTTGGCTAGTATCCATTAACATAGTATATAGACAGTGGCATTAAAAAAATCATTGTTCTTTTTTGTTAAAAGAAAGATCTTATGAGTCTTTAGCTCTTGAGAGTAAAAGGCCAATGTGGGATGAAATTTCACATTCCTAGTGAAGCTAGAAGTAACTAGGTACTCCTCTACCCAAATGAGGCAGAGATAAGGGATTTACTGCCTTATAAGGCAAGCCAAAATCACATTGCCCTTCACTCACATGGATTCCTTTTTCTTCCTTTAGAAGAATGTAACAAATAACAACTCATTTTCTCAAGGGTTAGGCATGTGTAGTCCTCCATGTGTTGCTGAATTGCAGCTCCCATCAGCCCTAACAAGCATAGCCAGTGGTGCAGAGTGCTGGGACTTGTAGTTCAACAACATGGAGGGCCACATTTTGTCTAATCATGCTGTATCTTCTTGCACAGGTGAGATTTATGTCACAATGTGGTAATAGAGAAAGCTTATTTCCATTAGTTAAGGGATTTGATATCTGCTAATTCTCATACAAAATAAAAGTATCCGTCTAGAAATGGGGAAATCCAGGTTCAAATCTCCACTTTGTCAAGTGTGTAATCTTGAACCTGTCACTTTCTCAGCTGCTGGTTGGAAAGAACCAGATGTGTTAGGAGCTGCTTGGAGAAAGGGTGTAAAAACATTTAATTATAAAGATTCACTAAGGTGAACTTATTGGAGCTTCTCTGACTGATGTGTGGGTTGGAACTTAGTTCCTGGATTTATTATTTAATCAAAGTTGCTGTACAATTCTCAACAGAGATGTGTGAAGAATTCAACAGGTTTTTAAACATATGGAATTATATAATATGGATCCCCCATTTGCTCTGCTCCAAATGCAGACCAAAACTCAATTCGGGTCAGAAACTGGAATGCTTACAAGCCTGTTTTGTAAGTTGTACAAAACAACAAACTCATAAAATGTGTAGAATTGGGGGGGGGAAGAGTCCAAAGGAATCAAACATTATGAAAAAAGAGTGTTGACACATTTGTGAACTTCTGTGAGGAAAACAACTGCTCACACTTATAGATACAAGTTGGAGAGAGCTTCAAGGTGGAAACTAAGCGTGTTGTTGAGCTCAAGCATTACTCAGTGGTGTCACTAGAGAGTTCAGGGGATGTGGAATGCTTGAGCTCACCTCTTCTAGGTGACACCCTAGAAGAGGGGTGACACCTGGCTGAGCTAACCCCCCCACACACACACCTCCAGAAGCCTGGGACACTCCTCCTTGCCTGGCATGGGTTTGCCCAAGAGTAAGCCATGCCAGTCAGGGAAAGAGAGGCCCGAGGGACCTATCCCTCCCTGCATGGTGCAGGTTTACTAGAGTGTAAAGCCCCACCAGGCAGGAAAAGAGAGGCCCAAGGCACCCCTTCCTCCCTGCCCATCATGGGTTTACTTGAGTGTAAAGCCATGCTGGGCATGGAAAGGGGGACTTGAGGCACCCCTTCCTCCCTGCCCATCATGGATTTACTCAAGTGTAAATAATAATAATAATAATAATAATAATAATAATAAATTTTATTTATAACCCGCCTCTCTGCATCGCAATCGAGGCGGGGAACAGCAATAATAAAAACGTACAATTTAAAACATTCTTTATCCCAAATCCAACCCACTCCTGAAGCTTCACCCCTCCCAAAGCCCTGATCCCCACACTGGGTGACACCCTAGTGTGGGACGCCACTAGCTTTACTGATCCATTTATGTGTCACTTATTTGTACCCTGTCCTTTTCACAAACTGGGAGTCAAGATGGCTTGAAAAGTACTGATTGATACATCCTCAGTTGTCAAAGGTTCAGACCTGAGAAAGCATGTATTTTAATATGTCATTTTTGGAATGTACACACTCAGACATATTTGAGAGAAAATACATAAATCATGAATAAATGAATGAAAGAATTGTTTAAACAGTAGTTTGAAAAGATTAAAAATCACCAATTAATGAGGACAATGGTTGGAAGTATAGATGACATACAAAAATGATTCACAGTGGAAATACATCTGCAACCTCCATACTGCCCTTATCTGTTTTTTGAAGTGAAGCTGGGTCTCACCATGTTAGTATTTGAATGGAATACCACCAGGGCATACCAGAGTTCCCTTGATATGGCTAGAGGGGGAAGTCCTCTTATCCGAAATCCTAAAGAGCCTTAGCTAGTCAGTGTTGACTGGATTGGACTAGATAGCTCAGTGGTCTTACTCATGGTATGGAAAATTCCCTGTGTCATAGTACATTTACTAGAATAGAAGATATTTGTAGAAGGTCCTTCCATTGCTGTTTCCTCAGATATCCTGGATCTAGTCTCGACACAGCAGGGCAGGATCCAGCAGTGGACTTCCAATAGTGAATGATGAAATCCAGTGACACTGGGAAGAGGCAATCCCTTCTCCTTGCTTTAAAATCCTGTGTACCCCATAAGATGGAGTGGGAGATTCTTTGGAACCATTTTGTGGGCAACCCAGAGGGCTGAAGGTGGGAAGTGAGGAGAAGACCATCCCATTGTAACCACCAGTGTCATGTTGTACTGAACGCCTGCTCTCTGAGTCGTGGCCAGAATAACTACTGGCCAAAACTATCAATATTATTATTCTTTTCCTTTCCATTTTTCTGGTATGTCCAGGAGAACACCACTGCAAATTTGGAACTTAACAGTTGTGTCATTACTGCTGTTTCATTGCTTTAATCTTAAAGTAAATGCCAAATGAAATGAAAATC